TCAGCAGTCAAGAGAGCCCCACTTGCAGAATTTCAATTCACAATAAACGAAATTCTTCAAGAGAGAATTATTGGAAATAATATCCAAATTTTACGGTATCGCTCATTCGTCCATTTTCAAGTATAATTTGCGAAACTAAGCCCACAATATATAGGTGAAATGAATAGTTAAAAGCTATACCGTTACTCTCGGGAAATTTCTATGGATAGCTCACACCTTTTCCTAAGGCAGTTCTCCAACTATTTTTGTCATAATACATCAAAAATTTTAGTGCCTTTCTGTAAATGCTTACTTTAAGCAGTATTCGTGGAGAAGCAATCCGAAAAATAGGCCAACGTGGTTTAAGCTTAGCACTATAAATATATATATCAACCGGACTTTTATCAAAAAATAGTATAAACTAGTCTCTGTCGGTATATAAAGGGAGGAGACTACATTCGAGAGGGCTGAAAAAGTCGGCCAGATCATTTGACAGCGTCTCGACCGGACAGACGGACACACATAGTTGAAGAAAATGATTTCGAATCGTGTACTTTTCATAAAAGGTACGTGCTTCTCAAGTCACTCTTAACGCAAACTTCATATCCTCTGATCACTTGCTTTTAATGCAATTTTTTATAAAAAATTAATTTCATTTAGATGAGTGATAGGCTCTCGCTATTGTGATTCTTCTTCTTTCTCCGCACAGCCTTCATTTTCTTTTAAAACTAGATCTGAATTGTGGGTTTGAATAATTTTTCGGATTTGTTGTCTTTACTTAACTTTTTCAAGTAGACTTAAAAAAATTAAAAGCCCAAGACAGTTTTCTTCTTCGTTATTCGGCTCATGGGATAATCTTTCTACAATTATTTGCAAGCAATTATCTGATTTACAAAAACCGCACTGAAACTGTAAAAAAGACGCCCTTAAGACCTTATTACGTCATTCATCCATTAAAAAGCATACATAAGCAATTTTTTTTGCAGTAACAAAACTTATGAGCTTGATGAGCTATGATTTTTTACTCCCCGAACGCCACTACACTAAGAACAACATCTGCCATCAAAGATGAATCGAGTGGAAGAGGTGCGAGTGCATGCAGAGGGTACTGCATACTCGAACGGCTCTCATTACTAGTTTGCTTGCATTTTCCGCTCCGGCATATGTAAATTAATAAGCAGAAAATCATCATAAACTATGCTATGAAATTTCCAAATTTCGAATGGTGCTTAGTGCACATGCCTGACAAACATTTGGGATTATTTGCTTATGGTTTCTGCTTTGTATGAACTGATGTCTGATCAGCAACATCTTGAATGTGGGTCTTATCCACAGAGATGCCCGAGGGTTTTCATATCCCCGTCGGAAGACGAAAGCACAACAGATTTGCTTTGCTTGGAAGTGTGCATGCAGAGACTCGATAAATTCTCGATCGGGAAAAGAGTCTGATTGATCGGTTTAATAATGCGCCCGGCACTCCATCTGGCTATTGCTACAAAAATCATCAAAAATGTATTCTTGTTCAACTAATTCTGAAGCGGCCACGATCCTCCCTAATCTTGCTCTAAACCTTAAGCGACGACTCTTAAGTATGTTATGAGTATTATTATTATTATATGGGAAGACAGATATATCCTCAGCGTACGACAAGAAAAATATTTAAAATAATATTTTTATAGGAAAAGCCCGCAGGTAATAATGTAAACTAGAAACCATTCATATAACTTTGGTCTTATTTGCATTTTAAAAGACTTTCAACAGATGACAGTCGATTATGTCAATTGGCGTGGGTGGTTTCCACATTGATGGCCATATTGGGCCAAGCGAAATGTTAATGTACATCCGACTAAAGGCACGAAATGCTTGACATCATCAACGTTCACGCCTTTATCCGGTACTAGTAATAAGAGGTCTTGCCTGCTTCATAACTTTGAGCTCTTTGCTGTTCACCATAGGAAGTCACAAAGCAATTCGGAGCGATTCTTCACCAGAGCTTGGAAAAACGACTTTATTTATTTCTCAACAGGCTGACGTATACTGTGGCGTAAAACCGAGAGATACCACAGGGACAAAGAATTGTTGCAGGATTGCCCGATAATCGATACGCAGTAGTTATAACCTCTCGTTAAAGATTGTGTCCTAATCCTAATGCATGATACTTTGGAAATTGTGGGGCAAACCCTTCGGTTCCCTTTGGATGGTTTCGAAATTATCTTAAGGGATAACGTTTGTGTTTTATTTAATGAACAAAAACTGTGTTCACAGATCGAGAAGATTTTCGGAAATGGCGCGAAACGAAAATGGTTTCAATTTTCAATTCTTTTCCAAAAATCACAACGGAAAGAATGTAAAGCATTGTGTGTTGCTTGCAGAATTCTACCAGGTTCTAACAGATGATACAATAAAGGTCTTAAGTTCAGAAGTTCGAAAAAAATGTAGGTAGCGGTAGGTGATGGCTTTCATAAACTTGACATATCGATGGGCGGATATAAACCGCGAAAAATAATTAACATTAGTAGAAGAAAACTCAGATAAAATTTTGTCCCAATTTATGACAAAGAGACAGACAATCAGGTTAAGTTAATTTCGGTATTCGCGCGCATCAAGAGTGTGTATCCGATGTGTAATCCCGGGTTCACAAATATTTCAAAAATTTGACATATCCTTTATAGATGAGTAGCCGAGGAGGTAACCGATCGCGGGTTCAAATCTGAAGTGTTTTCAATACAGGCGAGCATATGATCTAAGATATCCGGCCTTTAAGTCCAAACTTTGTAAACTTATTTACAAAATATGCAGACAATAAATAAGTAAATCTTTTCTGGTTTCCCGTCAGCTGAATAGTCATAGAAAAGCTGAGGTATCGTCTCAGGACGATGCTGTAGCCATGCTACCATTGACATCTGGATTGGCGATAATGACAAACTTCTGTTATACCGGTATGCTGATCAGGGTCTCTGCAAAGTCAACGGCAGAGTTCCTCTTACATTCTGGTTGAAGAAGTGCAGAGGTCGTTTTCTGTATCTCATGGTCTTAGATTTGGGAAAGATGTCCGTGAAAGTTTACGGCGGCTGTATTGAAATTCGAAGAAACAGCTCAACACACCTGATTGTAAAGAGGGAGTGCAAAGAGATGCTTGACCAAAAAAAATTTCGTTGTTTTAGTTAAGCCTTACTGTGAATAGAAATGTCTTATGATAGTCGGGACATTACGGCCACACGTAGTCTTGACACCGAGTGCTAATGGGCATGTTGGAATTAAGCCTTTATAGGTTTGCATTTAGTTTAAACCCTTAGTAGTATAGCTCGCCTGTAACTACAATTAACTACCTTGGATGCCTAGAGCTTCCTTTATAAAGTTCCTTCAGCTGACCAGCACTTAAAATATGCCCACCGGCGATTTCGATTTTCTTAATAGTTTTATGTTTGTTCTTGCTGACAATCGGCGCTCAAACTAGATGTCCCGACAATTTTCAATTTTTTGATTCTGCCCCTGTCGAAATGGGACCACTCGATCTACCGGTTTTTACTTGTTTCATTTCTTACTAGCGAACAGTTTCGTTGTCACCTTCACGAAGTACACAGTCGACCTTTACATATATTTGATTTTGCTGAGGAAATATTTGTTTTTAATTTGTTCTTATCTGCCTCTGCTTTACAAATCAATATTATTTCAAAATCATTGATGTATTTATTCAAAATTATAAAAATCGAAGCAGTGTCTTTCAGCAGTCCTTCAGCAATTCCTGAATGTCGTTTTTTTGCTCTTGGCTTTTTGTTCACATGGAAATACAACGTAGAAGTCTTCAAAACTGAAGGTGTCTGGTTATGTGAAACGAGAAATCTCATATATATGAACGGCAAGCTGCTGACTCACACATGGTAATAACAGCGACGATGATGATGGTGATGATGGTGAATCCCAATGGCTTTTTGTTTTTTAATATAAAAAGAACTAATGGCGGCGATATTGACTATAAATTACGAAAACATGATGCAAAGAACAAAACAACGTTTTGTTATTGATTTTAAGGGTATTTCTGATTTTTTGGTCTTTTCTCTCTTTTAGTTTTATTTTTCTTCTTCTTCTTCTTCTTCTTCTTCTCATGTGAGACATTTTTGCACCAATATATTCGGAGGCAATAGCAACAAGAACAACAGCAATAACAGCAGTGGTAGTAATTTTATAAGTTTTCAACATTTGTTGTTATTGTATTTTATCTGTGCGTATATCTTTTGGGGTTTTTGTTTTTTTGTATAGGTTATGCAAAGCATAGTAAAGAAAAAGAAACGAACTAACGATCTGTGCCTAAGATTTGGTCTTATGTGAAATCGTTGCGTTAAGCTACCATATGCAAGCATTGTATCGTATACGTGTATATGTGTATATGCTTATATTATGCATATATGTATATTATTATAGGTATCTATCTATACAAGTTAAGTTTAAGCTTTTACATAAAAGGGCAATTTCGTTTTGGTTGCCGGCCGCGGCCTTGTATAATTGGGGCCTTTTGGACACAAAAATGCCTTTGTTCGGCAGCGGCAAGTCTCTTTCGTTTTTAACTTTTTGTTACTTCTTTTTTTCTCTGCTTGTGGTTCGGTTTTTGTTTTTTTTCTCTTGACCGGGCATACAACAAGCAAGACAAGCTAGCTATTGGCTAAAGGTAAGGAAGGCAGGTAAAATGATAAAACACACACGAGCACAAATGGACGGGTTATCGTGAGAAATTTTCTCGGGATGAAATAAAAACAAAGTGAGTCTGTGACACAAAAACGTATAAGTATGACTTCCTAACAAAAATCAGTTAACTGCTATCATTTGACTGAAGACTGAGGAGAAGAAACTAAATCAACACAACGGCAAATAATTGTTTGTACAAATTTTCAAACGTTTTTTTCTCTTTTTTTTTTTTTTTTTTTTTTTTTTTTTTTGCTTGATGTGTGCATACACACACACACACACACACGCACACGCACACGCATATATGTATATATATATTGTGTTATATAAATACTTACTCTTTCATATTGATAAAATGAACGACTTGGTCCAGCACGGCCATACAAATATGGATAATAAGCACCGTACATAACTTCAGGGCAGGATACTGCCATTGTAGGCTTCCACTCCACTCTCTGGCACTCTCTTAAATTCTGATTGTGTAGTAAATCAGAGAAATTAAAGTTAATTGAAAGCGTGCTATGATTTTTATTATTATTGATCGATATTATTGCTTCCGTTCGAACATGCAACGCACATATACACAAACACACGCACAACTGCTATAGTTTGATTTATTTTATATTATATCTTAAATATTAAATATATTATTATTATTATTATTATTATAACGGGAAATTTTAATTCCCTCTCGTCTCGTTATGGGAGAAAGAAAAACTATCTTTCTCTCTCCCTTTCTTTCGCGCTTTTCAACATTAGCTCAGCTGCTCTGTTAACAGTTTGTGAGATTTCGAAAACTTGTTTAACCGCAAATTTTTTTTTTTGTTTTAATCTTAGTGTTGGACTTTTTGCTTTAAATTCCAAGAAACAAATTCATGTTTAGTTTGTTTTTTTGTTTCTTTCTTTCTTTCATTTACATATATTTGTATTTTTTTAATTTCTTTTCAATGTTTTTTTTTTTTTTTTTTTTGTTTTTACTTAGTTTTCAATTACTAACAAGTTGGAAAAAAACACAACATAACTCGTCATTTCGCATTGTTACTCGCACAGACACTGGTACTGACACGTCTCACTCTGATGTTTCACATTTAAAACTATTGGTGCATATTTATAATTTCATCAGTAATTGAAAAGTACATGCATGCATATACACATATAATAAAAACAAACATGTACACACACATACACACACACATTCATGCATTTCTATTTACTACACCGACAACACAAGCTTTTTCATATTATCTATATATATATATATATGTTGATGAACATATACAAACACGATCCATAACTATACACATATAATATACATATATAGACATAAACACTTATACACCTGTTGTTATGTATAATTACAACGGAATTAAAGTTGAGATTCTCTCAACAACAATTATAGACGAACAACAGCTAAATGATGATAATGGCAAACTGCAGCAATAGTTGCCGCTTTTGCTAATGACGATGGTAATGACGCTGCGAATACTGATGATGATAATAATGATGACAATAGTTATGATGATAATGATGATGGTGATGATGGTGATGATGATGATGACGACGATGATGGTGGCGATGGCGAATGCGTATTAACTTTCATTCATTATATTATTATGGATTTCAATGCAGTTTGCGTTACCGGTTTCTTTTTTTCTTCTTCTTCTTCTTCTTTTTATTTCTCTATTTAAGTATGTATTTCTTTTTTTTTTTTCTTCACTTCAATGCATCAAGTTTTTTTATGGTTGCAAAAAAATAAAAAAAGCCTTTTACTAAATGTTGCCGTTTCAGCGTTATATTCATTCACGCAACTCTGAAAATACATAGAAACAAAACAAAAATATATAAATAAATAAATAAATATGAAAAGTGTTTAAATAATTTGTAACACACAGTACCGTACAGAAGATATAATCAACCAAGACGATGTCTATGAAAAAAAAAAAAAAAATTTTTATTCAAATTTAAAAACTAATGAGTAGTGCACCGAGGTCTACCATTAAATACCTTACTCGACCTAATCGAAGTAATCGCTAAAGTGGTCCGATTCAAATTACTTCGTATAGCGCTCGTTCTTGAGCCAAACGAATTTGATCAAAATATCTCAAAAATTGCGACCTAAAGGTTGAACAAAACAAAACAAAAGAGACAGATCGATGAAGAGAAGAGGAGAAGAGAAGAAGACAAATCAGACAGATTCCGAATAAAATCTATCTCAAGTCTCCCTGTGTGTTGCATATCTAGGATATCCGAACTAACTAAGTGCATCCTCACATTGCAAGTGATGTGCGGTGTAAAAATATTAAAGAATTAAAGAAGAAAATTGAAAACGAATGAAAAGATCAAATCGGATAATTTAACTAACGTTTGCTGGTTGATCGAAACAGATTTGGTTTCTCTCGTCTTTGTCGCGTTCTTTAACCACTTTAATTGCTTAACTATGTTTTTAGCAAAGATGGGTACTTTCGACACAAATGCAAAGACAATTCCAAGCTGGAAAATGAAATATATTTTTCGGTTCTTTTTCGTCGATGTAGAGTAAGATGTCGACTAAGCCAATGCAACATGTGGCTTATATAATGCGGATTGACGTGAATTAATATAACTTAAGTTCATTTACTCGAAATGATTTTAAGGTATGGCTTTGAGCTTTAAATCAATAATAGCAGACTTAGCTTGGTTGCAAAAGACGTCCAACAAAAACCTCAGAAGGGATAAAAAAAGAGATAGAAAATTAATAAAAAAAAAAGTATTCCGCGTAATAATGCTGTGGAAAAGTTATAGTTAAGAAAATGGCAAAAAATTTACGATGTTACATAATTAACCCTTTGCATTTCTCCTTTTTCTTTTTAGCTATCCCTGCCTACTTAAGAATTTCAAGGAGAGGTTGAGCTTCTCTCAATTCTTCTTCTCTTGATTTCCAACAGCAATAGGAGGTTTGTCGCGAATAAATTCATTATTATTATTATTAACGGGACAAAAAATAGCTCCTCTTATACTAATTTTTTATTCTTTACCTAATTTATTAATTGTTAGAATAATTTTGGCCGTAATAGTGGGCGCTAGTGGACGCTAGTGGAATCAAACTTCTCTACGAAAATTAATGGCTTATTCGACTCTGGGCCACCCCGTGGGACTTGGTGTTGGAAACACAATGTGAAAAGTGATCTGTTTTTGGATTTCTAACGAAATATGGCAAGTCCTTGAGATGAGCATCATTGCAAGCATTTAAAAGACCATTTTGATTATCATATATTTTAAACACGTTACAGTGAAACTAACTAACTACGGCAGAAAACCAAGCCTTATCCATTGCTTTAAAGAATGTAAATCTTCATTTCTTATAGAAAAAAAAAAAAAAAACAATTATTTCAATGATGCAACGAATATGCGGTACGAAGATAGGTTTACGGCAGAAAATAAATTTAGACAAGCGAATGAAATTTTCATACTTTTTGTATTATTTTGTAACGAAGGTGCTCTCACCTTACCTTGTACTGTTATGTTATCGTCCTTCGAGAGTATTTCGAGAGTATACCCTTCAAAAAAAAAAAAAAAAAATACTGTTGATTATTCGAGTCGTGATAGGAATGCAATTGTTTTTTGTCTTCGTAAGGAGTACACTCGACGTAAACGGTTAAAGACGTAACACGACTGCAAAAGCCGAAACAAAGCGTACTTTCGACATTGTTTCGGAATCGGAGAAAACACAATAGAATAATAATATCGGAGAACTTGTTAAGCATGCATTGAAGTATGAGAAAAACAACATTATTTTTGAAATACAATAAGAGATGATAACACTGGAGCCACTCTCGCGACAGATGACTGGCGAAGGAGCTTCGCTTCACACAGTGTAGATGACGCAAATTTTGAATCTGTACTAAAACAACAAATATATTTGGAAGACTATGATCTTGAACTAGTTAAAATTTTTCCACGCCTACAATTGTCTTTATATATCATTCTTAACCGTTTTGGGGATCATTCACATTAGCAAAAATAGATGGATTTTTTAAAAAAACTTTGCCTTAATGTTGCCCCCTAATTATAGTAAATGAATATGTCATCAGGTGGATGGTATACAAACCATTTCTCAAAAAAAAACCAGCGTCGTTCGGTACTGGCAAACTTTCTTCCTTCTCTCCTCTGTCCTTCTCTCTCTTCTTAGCTGACGTCAATAACCGTGAAAATATGAGGTGATCTAACTGTGTCCATCTTCAATCTAGAATTAATAGGTTCATTCGAGTCGTTCACATTCACACTGACATATACTGTCAATTTCGATTAACTAGCATTGTCATGATTATTAGGACATTACAATTCAAGATGAAAATAACGAACAGTGTACCATCCGTACCACTGCACGCAGTGCCTAGTAGACTTTTTCACAACTTGAAAGTTTACAAAGTATAGAAATCGACCTGTTTCGAGATCAAAAAACAAAATTGTCAGTTTTTTAATTGAGATAATAAACGTTAACCAATATGCTGCGAGATAAAAGCATAAGAGAAGAGGAAGTAGTTCTACAAATTGTAGATTTAAAGCGTATCTAACAGAGCGTGTGGCTACACGATTAATGTAAAGACCAACCAACCCAATCAACTCATGACCATAACAGAGAACTTCGACACCGAAGTTGTTTCTTGTTACCTTGTGGGAACGACAGCGGAGAGTCAATTGTAACTTAAGCGTTTCAAAGAGTGTGAATACTTAGAAACTTCCAAGCGTGAGAACTATCGGATATTCACAAATTGTAGGTTTTTGATTAGCGTAAGCAACTCTAACCGATATGTTGTTATGAAAAAAAAAAAAAAAATGAAGAGACATCTGGTACCAGCCACTATCCGATGATACGATCGACCGTAAACGTTATCGGCAAGTTAGAGGCTGGAGGAATGCGACAATTCGTCAATGTCGAGGCAAATAACGGCCATTTTCTTCGTTCCTTCATTTAAACAAATTGTAACGGACGCAAAGGACTCTAGACTTAAGCTAGTCTGAACTCCTGGACTATAGCATCATCAAAATATAACCACAGTACTAATCCCTATCACTTTTTTCTTTATTTTCTTTATCGGAACTTAAGTGCAATTTGTCAACTTATATGTCATAGTACTTGTAGTTGAATATTGCATAAGATATCGAAACAGCAAATGATGATAATTAAAGTTTATTATTATAATTTGAAAAGTCAATAATAGCTCAAAACTAAACTAAACGAGATGAAATGGAAAATACTGACAATAGAGATTTCACGGAGCTGAAACACTCACTGCTCTCATGCAACTTTTAATCGTTGAGACTTATAAAAGTCAAATTCTTTTACCTCGCTGAAGCACTGCCGACAAACACGCTATTAGAGTGGAGATCAGAAGGACCAAGTGTGAAGTGTAACCGTAGAAGTGCTTTGTTTCTTGCAAAGCAATTACGAAAAAAGTCTTAGTTCTCTGGAAGCGAATCTTTGCTTTACCGTCCTATTTATCTGCAACTGAGGGGTTTCCAACAGCAGACGAATGGAGGGACAAATCAACAACGACAACCCAATTCGTAAACATACTAGGATCGAGATTGTATGCATTTCGTGGGTAAACTTGTTTAATATCATAAATAAAACGACAGAAATCGATTGTACAGTGATCGGTCAATCGAAATTTAATATGTTGCCTACCCCCCAACATTCAGGTTTCACTTAAAATTACAAAGAACCAGATTTCATGACGAAGAACAAGAGTATAAGTCGCGTCGATCAAGTTTGAATGCAATTAGTGTCCAGTTTTCATTTACTTCACGTGGCAAACATATATGTAATCGATTAAATTCCCCGGACACATTAGTCATTGGC